CCGCCGGATTTGGCTGTTTTTCCTGTAGTGCACTAATTGCATGAACCAATATATTTTCTAAGTAATAGAATTAAAAACCTTATACAATGGAGACCCATAATGGGTTTATGTTGAGTTATTGGTTAATCAATGATGACACCTCCCTCTTGTCGACTTCTAGCCGATATCCTACCCCCAATCGCCTATCCAACTCCTATAATGTTAGTGGATTATGTTGGAAGTGTGGTATCCTTTAAAGCCTCCTTTGGTGATTTATTTCCTCTATGGGAGGTTATTATGAGCTCTTCTTGACTACCAAATCATTGGGTTGACCTAAGAAAATAGTGATAGACCTATTATTATACGCCTCGATATTGATGTGATTATTGGCAACCTCTAATAACTTAGCCAATATTTTTGACTTATAGAGGCTAAGGATATAATGAAAATGCCCTATCACAGACATTAAGTGAAGGCGACTAGATCCACAAGTGGCTCCAAATCTTTATGTCCAATATTTTCCTTTGAAAATTTATGATAAAACTTCTTAGGAATTTCATCGGTCCTTACTTAATCTTCTATAAGGCCTGCAAGATCTTTAGCGCTCTCTATGCACTAACAAGTTATGTTATCAATAACCTCTTAAAATTTTTGAAGGGGTTGATTGATCCCATGGGAGTCATGAGAACTTTTAAGGGGTGATTATTTAAAGATGATAAAAAATAAATGACACTTCAAAACATCATCATTCCTCAGTAAGGAGGTGGCTGACTCAAAATAAGTCATATTTTTAAAGTAGGTTTTGTTATCCTTTTATGTAATTTGAGGTGGGTGGTTTTGAACTTCTTTGGTGGCACTACTTTGGAGAAATCTATAGAGAGCATGTTAGTTATTTGTAACTTCCATTTAGCATCCCATTGACTTGCTATGGATTCTTCATTATTATCTAGATAAGAGGTATCATTTTTCATCTTGCGAGAAGGTAGCACCTTTGTGTTAGAAAAATTCCTTTGAACGATAAAATTAAATGATCCCTCAAGCGCATCTACCCATGAGAGATCCCTATAGAGCTTTCTCTTGGGTACCTTAGATCATATTGTAAGTCTCTCTTTTATCTTTTGCTAACTGTCGGGTGGTGATGAAATCTTGGTGATCCATATTGGCTAATTCTCTTGGGATAGGTTGCTTCATTTCTTGAAATGCTTAATTTACGGGTGATAACATCATTTCATGCTCACTATACTTTAGAGGATGTTCAATTTAACTTTATTCATATATGATATTCGTACCTTAGTCATAATACTTTAGAGAGACTTAGGAGAAAGGAGAGTAGATACATAAATACAAATGATAATGAACTTTTATATTGATATAAAAGAAAGCATATAAACTCAAACCATCAATGTCTTTTGCTCATCCTTAGACTTCTTTTAAGAGGCTTTCAAATTAGCATTATAATGAATATATTATGGATTTTAATGATTTTGCATTATTTATCTTTTAGGTGACACATAACCCATGTATAAGAAAAAGCATTTGATTTCCTGATGAGGATTACGATATTATGTGTCATTAGCTAGTTGAAATCCAAATTAGTATATTATCACCTTCTTATGTGAGGAACATTACTTCATTAGTTGGGAGAAGATTGCAGGTTGATTGTTGTATGTGTAGGATGCTTGGATTTTGGGTGAGCCCTTGAACAAAATAAGCCCATGGGAGCTTTCTGGGAAGAGCTAAAAGAACCAATCACCACTTCCTCTGGCAAGCTCTCTGCGAGTAACAAACAGAGCAAATCATCACTGTTAACAAACCAAGTTTATCCTAGTCCTACGCGTGTAAAAGCCAAGCTCTTATATACCTATATATAAGCAATATATTGAAATAAACTGTATGATAGGTCTTTACATCAATAGAGAATACCTTTATACTTTACTCTCTTCCTACCCGCCGTATAGCTTTACATATATGCTTATACATTGTTGTGAAAGATATGCCTTCATGGTATTAGAGCAAGTGTAAGACTCAACCTTCTTTATTATCATAATGGCCCATTCCTCGTCATCTTAAGTAGCAAACATGCTACTAAGAACACTACCAAGTCCATACACATACCTTCTTTCCTGAAGCTAGTACTCTCCTACAGCAAAACGACATTCACCACCATATTTCTTGTCCCTACATCCCAGAGTAAAATGGGACAGCCGAATGCAAACATCGTCACATCATAGAAACCACCTAAACATTGCTCTACACTGCTCTCCTCCCATATAAATTCAGGTCCGATGTTGCCCTTACCGCCATTCACCTCACCAACTGTATGCAATCCCTTAAAAATCCCCGCTTCAATTACTATACAACAAAAAACCATACTACTCACTAACTTCAACATAGTGCTTAGGGGTGTAAACGAGTCGAGTCGAGTATTTTCCTTATCAAGCCTGGCGTTCAATCCTTAATGAGCTCGAGCTCTATTAATGGGCTCGAGATCGACTTGTTTAGAAAATATCAAGCTCAAGTTCGACTCGAAAGCTTGAGCTCGAGATCGAGCTCGTTTGAGAAGCACCAACGCATGTGATGCGTATTATTATATAAAATATTAATATTATATATATATA